GTCGAGGAGCGCTGGGGGCCGTGGTCGAGGGGCGCAGGGGGCAGTGGTCGAGGGGCGCAGGGGGCCGTGGTCGAGGAGCGCTGGGGGCAGTGGTCGAGGAGCGCTGGGGGCAGTGGTCGAGGGGCGCAGGGGGCCGTGGTCGAGGAGCGCTGGGGGCAGTGGTCGAGGAGCGCTGGGGGCAGTGGTCGAGGAGCGCAGGGGGCCGTGGTCGAGGAGCGCTGGGGGCAGTGGTCGAGGAGCGCTGGGGGCAGTGGTCGAGGGGCGCTGGGGGCAGTGGTCGAGGGGCGCTGGGGGCAGTGGTCGAGGAGCGCTGGGGGCAGTGGTCGAGGGGCGCTGTGGGCAGTGGTCGAGGGGCGCAGGGGGCCGTGGTCGAGGAGCGCTGGGGGCAGTGGTCGAGGAGCGCTGGGGGCAGTGGTCGAGGAGCGCTGGGGGCAGTGGTCGAGGGGCGCTGGGGGCAGTGGTCGAGGGGCGCTGGGGGCCGTGGTCGAGGGGCGCAGGGGACAGTAGTTGAGGGGCGCTGGGGGCAGTGGTCGAGGAGCGCTGGGGGCAGTGGTCGAGGGGCGCTGGGGGCAGTGGTCGAGGGGCGCTGGGGGCAGTGGTCGAGGGGCGCTGGGGGCCGTGGTCGAGGGGCGCAGGGGACAGTAGTTGAGGGGCGCTGGGGGCAGTGGTCGAGGAGCGCTGGGGGCAGTGGTCGAGGGGCGCTGGGGGCAGTGGTCGAGGGGCGCTGGGGGCAGTGGTCGAGGGGCGCTGGGGGCAGTGGTCGAGGAGCGCTGGGGGCAGTGGTCGAGGGGCGCTGGGGGCAGTGGTCGAGGGGCGCTGGGGGCAGTGGTCGAGGGGCGCTGGGGGCAGTGGTCGAGGGGCGCTGGGGGCAGTGGTCGAGGAGCGCTGGGGGCCGTGGTCGAGGAGCGCTGGGGGCAGTGGTCGAGGGGCGCTGGGGGCAGTGGTCGAGGGGCGCTGGGGGCAGTGGTCGAGGGGCGCTGGGGGCAGTGGTCGAGGGGTGCAAGGGGCCGTGGTCGAGGAGCGCAGGGGGCCGTGGTCGAGGGGCGCAGGGGGCCGTGGTCGAGGAGCGCTGGGGGCCGTGGTCGAGGGGCGCAGGGGGCAGTGGTCGAGGGGCGCAGGGGGCCGTGGTCGAGGAGCGCTGGGGGCAGTGGTCGAGGAGCGCTGGGGGCAGTGGTCGAGGGGCGCAGGGGGCCGTGGTCGAGGAGCGCTGGGGGCAGTGGTCGAGGAGCGCTGGGGGCAGTGGTCGAGGAGCGCAGGGGGCCGTGGTCGAGGAGCGCTGGGGGCAGTGGTCGAGGAGCGCTGGGGGCAGTGGTCGAGGGGCGCTGGGGGGCAGTGGTCGAGGGGCGCTGGGGGCAGTGGTCGAGGAGCGCTGGGGGCAGTGGTCGAGGGGCGCTGTGGGCAGTGGTCGAGGGGCGCAGGGGGCCGTGGTCGAGGAGCGCTGGGGGCAGTGGTCGAGGAGCGCTGGTGGCAGTGGTCGAGGGGCGCTGGGGGCAGTGGTCGAGGGGCGCTGGGGGCAGTGGTCGAGGGGCGCAGGGGGCCGTGGTCGAGGGGCGCTGGGGGCAGTGGTCGAGGGGCGCAGGGGGCCGTGGTCGAGGAGCGCTGGGGGCAGTGGTCGAGGGGCGCTGGTGGCAGTGGTCGAGGGGCGCTGGGGGCAGTGGTCGAGGGGCGCAGGGGGCCGTGGTCGAGGAGCGCTGGGGGCAGTGGTCGAGGGGCGCTGGGGGCAGTGGTCGAGGGGCGCTGGGGGCAGTGGTCGAGGGGCGCTGTGGGCAGTGGTCGAGGGGCGCAGGGGGCCGTGGTCGAGGAGCGCTGGGGGCAGTGGTCGAGGAGCGCTGGTGGCAGTGGTCGAGGGGCGCTGGGGGCAGTGGTCGAGGGGCGCTGGGGGCAGTGGTCAAGGGGCGCTGGGGGCAGTGGTCGAGGGGCGCTGGGGGCAGTGGTCGAGGGGCGCTGGGGAGTGTGTCGCTCCAGGGCAAAAGAGAAGCATGATCCAAGATGGCGTCCTATTCAAATCAGTGGCTTGTGCTCAGTAGCACATGTGTCGCCGTAGGCGCCAAAAGACTGACGGAACTCGCCCATATTTGGGCATCGTCTGGTGCTCCCAGTTCTGTGCAGTGTACGAACTCCCATGATGCTTTGCGCCAAATACACATGTGTAAACTCAGACCCAATGGAGGAGTTAACCCCTCCCACCTGTTAGCAAATCCAGACCTTAGTATGAAGTGAAATGAGTACCATGGTGTGGTCAGACCAGGGTGCATCTCATTAGAGTCTGTTTGAGCTGGAGCCGCTTCACTGTGAACGAGTCAAATCAACGCAGATCAGATTCAGTCCTGAAGTCGAACAGAAGAAGACGGGTCCTGAAGAATAGATGAGGCTCGGACCGAGCGTCAGAAGAAGAGATGAAAGCGATAGTTAACATGTGACATCACAGAGAGACGCCGTTACATCAGCGGCTTCAAACAGAACTAATCACAAAGAACCATGAGACACTTTCACCTGAAACTGTAGTTTAAGAGAAGAGATGATCTGTTCCACAGGGAAATGTCAGGGTTGCAACAGCAGGTACAGGACAGAAGAATGACACATGAACAATGGACCCTATGATGAATGAACTCTACGCTAAAGAAACATACAATTTCTAGCTTTAGCAATCGACATGGTGGCTGAGTGGTTAGCACTCTCGCCTCTCAACAAGAAGGTCCTGGGTTCAAATCCCAGTTGGAATAGAGCCTTTTCTGAGTGGAGATTAACTAAAAGTTAAACAGGACTCCTTGAGCCAGATTAAAATCTTCTTCTTTAAACTGTTTGATTCTCTGATCTGTATTGGAGAATCAACAACTTGGTAATAACTGATGTTGTGATTTAGGGCGAATGGAATTGAACTGTTTCCAGTGGAAGCTGAATCTAAACCCATTCACACTGTGAGAAAGTTTACTTTCAGTTTACTTTGAGTTCTTTTTGAGACATTTTTCTGGGCAGCCCTGACTTTAGTACAGATGCATGGGACATATCCAGATATTATTATAGATCCATACTCTCTGCTTTATCCAGATATTATTATAGATCCATACTCTCTGCTCTATCCAGATGTTATTATAGATCCATGCTCTCTGCTCTATCCAGATATTATTATAGATCCATACTCTCTGCTCTATCCAGATATTATTATTGATCCATGCTCTCTGCTCTATCCAGATATTATTATTGATCCATGCTCTCTGCTCTATCCAGATATTATTATAGATCCATACTCTCTGCTCTATCCAGATATTATTATTGATCCATGCTCTCTGCTCTATCCAGATGTTATTATAGATCCATACTCTCTCCTCCATAAAGTTTATTCCTCCATTTTTCTGGATCTTTCCGTGTGAGAATCCTGAGCAGACCCTGTGCTCATTAAAATGCAGAACCCTCTCGACTACAACAGCGTCAGACTTGTTCCGAGGCTTTGACCCGATCTTGGGCTAAGAGCATATTCTTGTTTATGTTCGCGACCCGGAGGAACACAGAGCGACACCGAACCCCAGACACACATTTTAACTTTTAAGGCGGAAGTGAGTGACCTTAAAATAGATTTTGAGTTTTCGAACACGATAAAACATTGTTCAGGCGTAAAAAATCAGACCTGGGTTTTTCTTTGGCTCTGAGAGTTCCAGGCCCTCACAGACAGAGGTGGTGAGTTCCAGCCCTCACAGACAGAGGTAGTGAGTTCCAGGCCCTCACAGACAGAGGTAGTGAGTTCCAGGCCCGCACAGACAGAGGTAGTGAGTTCCAGACCCTCACAGACAGAGGTGGTGAGTTCCAGCCCTCACAGACAGAGGTAGTGAGTTCCAGACCCTCACAGACAGAGGTAGAGAGTTCCAGGCCCTCACAGACAGAGGTAGAGAGTTCCAGACCCTCACAGACAGAGGTAGTGAGTTCCAGGCCCTCACAGACAGAGGTAGAGAGTTCCAGGCCCTCACAGACAGAGGTAGAGAGTTCCAGACCCTCACAGACAGAGGTAGAGAGTTCCAGGCCCTCACAGACAGAGGTAGTGAGTTCCAGCCCTCACAGACAGAGGTAGAGAGTTCCAGACCCTCACAGACAGAGGTAGGGAGTTCCAGACCCTCACAGACAGAGGTAGGGAGTTCCAGACCCTCACAGACAGAGGTAGTGAGTTCCAGGCCCTCACAGACAGAGGTAGGGAGTTCCAGGCCCTCACAGACAGAGGTAGTGAGTTCCAGGCCCTCACAGACAGTGGTAGAGAGTTCCAGCCCTCACAGACAGAGGTAGAGAGTTCCAGCCCTCACAGACAGTGGTAGAGAGTTCCAGGCCCTCACAGACAGAGGTAGTGAGTTCCAGGCCCTCACAGACAGAGGTAGAGAGTTCCAGCCCTCACAGACAGAGGTAGGGAGTTCCAGCCCTCACAGACAGAGGTAGAGAGTTCCAGCCCGCACAGACAGAGGTACTGAGTTCCAGGCCCTCACAGACAGAGGTAGAGAGTTCCAGGCCCTCACAGACAGAGGTAGTGAGTTCCAGACCCTCACAGACAGAGGTAGAGAGTTCCAGGCCCTCACAGACAGAGGTAGAGAGTTCCAGACCCTCACAAACAGAGGTAGAGAGTTCCAGCCCTCACAGACAGAGGTAGTGAGTTCCAGACCCTCACAGACAGAGGTAGCGAGTTCCAGGCCCTCACAGACAGAGGTAGTGAGTTCCAGACCCTCACAAACAGAGGTAGAGAGTTCCAGCCCTCACAGACAGAGGTAGTGAGTTCCAGACCCTCACAGACAGAGGTAGCGAGTTCCAGGCCCTCACAGACAGAGGTAGTGAGTTCCAGGCCCTCACAGACAGAGGTAGAGAGAACCTACGCAGACACGGGGAGAACATTGAAACTCCACTCAGAAAGGCCCTGTTCCGACCGGGATCCGAACCTACAAACCAGAGCACTAACCACTCAGCCGCTGTATCGCCCTTTGACATCACTTCATTGTTTTGTTTAAAAGTCAGGTACCCCAGCTTTAAAGCCACAGTCCCCTCTTCTGACCCGGTCCCAGGGCAGCTCTGCGGTGCACTTCTTGTTGCCAAATTTAGCAAAAGAATGCAACGCGCGGAGAAAAGCTGCCTCATGGTTCTGCTCCGACTCCACAGCGACCATTAAAAATAAAAGCTGGCACTATTCTGCTGGAGCCGTGACGACACATGGTTTGTTGTTGTTCTGGTCTATTCTGAGCAGCGCTAATTTTTTACACAAAGGATTGAGGGAAGCTAGCCAACGTTAGCCACAACCTCCTCTCGTTAAGAATCTGTCTTTTATTTCTATTTCCTGTACGTGAAAATGGAACGAGTGACTTTTAACTCATTCATGACGTTTATGGTTTTTTATTCCTAATTTTCAATCTTTAAAGCAGCTATATGTAAGATTTTCATGTCAAGTCAACCTTAAAGGGCCCTAATCTGTCATCATTAAAGGGCCCTAATCTGTCATCATTAAAGGGCCCTAATCTGTCTTCATTAAAGGGCCATAATCTGTCATCATCGAAGGGCCCTAATCTGTCATCATTAAAGGGCCCTAAGGCTGCAGTACCATTTCTGTCCACACGTTCACAGACTGCTCCTTTAATGAGTGCAATCAAAAGTCCACAGCGGCTAAACGAGACTGGTCCAAAAACATATACTCTCCACAACATCAACAACAAGCTTTGGACCAAGAACCACTTAAAGCTAACCCAAAGTAGTCTCTAAGATCATAAACACAAGTTCACTGTGTCATCCATCCAACTTCAGCTCAGCCATTATAGACCTTGTTCTAAAGCCCAGTACGTCTGGAATTCAGTCGCTGACTTTTGATTGTGTCACAAACTTCCATTAATGTTGCTAATGTAGCTGGTGAGAAGGTAAACATGTGTTATTCAGCCAACTTCAGCTCTGTCATAGATCATTTTAAAGCTCAAAAAAGCCCAATAAGATAAGATAAAGTTAACTTTAATGATCTCACAAAGGGAAAATGAATGTACACGTCACATTTGTCAAAGATAGAATCACTCTGGTAATGCAAAAAGACAGGAAATGAAACATGTTAAAGTGGTGAAAAATATATACTCTCTCTTGTGCAAGATACTGTATATTATGTAGAATCAGGAAATCAAAAGAGACAAAAACAGTGCTTTTTCTTTTTTTCTGTCCTAGTGCAGCTCATTAAAGTGATGTCAGTAAAGACAGGTTTTCAGTCTGTGACATCAACCCATGGACTGGTCTTGTGAACTAAAGTTTGGACACCCCTGCCTTAAAGCCTGATTGTCCCTGAAGAACCAAAGCCTCCCAGACCCTCAGACTGTAGACATCTGTAGAGTCCTGACAGAAGGATTCATTCCGTGGTAAAAAGATACTGTGGTTTGAAAGTGAAGTACCCCAGCTTTAAAATATGCTAAATGTCCAGTGTTTAATTAAAGGCTGAATGAGCTCCGTAATGACAGCCATGACCTTCCCAAAGCTGCAGCGGAGGCCAGAGCGCGGCTAATACAGATAAATCAGTGGCATTATGTTTACACACCCTTTTGACTCCTCATTTATGAACAATTCAAATCCACCACATCCGAATCCGAACATCGTGGAAGCAGCTGAACCAAAAACACGTCTCTTTCCACCTCATCTCCTCCGATAACAAACGGAAAGCCAGAATTCGCCACAACACCTTTGGCTCTCCGCTCGTAATTGAGTTCAGAAGTCTGAGATACTCGACGTTCTCGGTAATATCAGCGGAATGCGGAGCAGCGCGGCTTACAAACGCTGCTAAATATTAATTCTTGCTTGTTCTCCTCTTTGCACATGCATGAGCTGTTTCCTAATGGTGTAAATATGCGAGGGCTTCACCAAAACGCTTTCGGTTCCGGTCTGAGGGTTTAGCCGCCGCCTGTAGCGAGAGCACAAGTCTGGCTGCTGTCAAATCTGTTATTCATTTTCATTTCCTGCATAAAAGCATCGACGCTTCAGTCCTTTCTTCTCCGGTTTGGGTTATTTCTCTCCATTTTGAACAGTTTACCGTGTGGAAAACTTCAGGCCAAACTAGAGTAGGAAGGAGAGCCGGTGTTTTCAAGAAAGATAAGTTCATGTTTTTATCATTAAGAGGTCTGTCCGATGTCTGAATCTGACTGGACTGTTGTAAAAACCAGCAGGAAAAGACAGACCATATACATACATGAACAACAGACCGTATACATACATGAACAACAGACCATATACATACATGAACAACAGACCGTATACATACATGAACAACAGACCATATACATACATGAACAACAGACCGTATACATACATGAACAACAGACCATATACATACATGAACAACAGACCATATACATACATGAACAACAGACCGTATACATACATGAACAACAGACCCTATACATACATGAACAACAGACCGTATACATACATGAACAACAGACCATATACATACATGAACAACAGACCCTATACATACATGAACAACAGACCGTATACATACATGAACAATACAATACAATACAATTTATTCTTGTATAGCCCTAGGTCACAACAGAAGTCATCTCAGAGGACTTAACAAAACCATTGAAATCACCAACACAGGTCAGAGAATCAACAGTTAAAACACATGAAGAATACAGTATAAAGCACACACAGAAGAAAATGTCCATACATGTTGTAGAATGCTAAAGTGTCCTGATCATCACCAATCCTTTCTGTTGGACACTAACTGTCCAACAAGACCCTCCTGCATCGACAAGGAAAAACTCTTAAAAAACCCAGTGGGAAAAAGTGAGAAACCTTGGAGGAGAACTAGGGAAACCCACAGGGAGGGAGACCCATATGAGAAAGGGATCCGCTCCTCCGGACGGACAGACTAATGATCTAGGACCTAAGCTAGCTACAGAACGTGGACCAGTGGACGCTGAACGTGGACAGGTCCGGTGCAGGACCGAAGCACTCCCAGGCGGGTCGGGCGGGGCAGTCCGCAGGTGTAGATGGAAGAGGCCAGGCTCAGAGATCCCGTCATCGTACCATGAAACAGACAATGGGACAACGGGTGAATAGCAATGAACAAACTACAGTCAGAATCCTAAAAATGCTAAACAGATAAAGTAGGAAGGAGGAGAGGATAGTGCTCAAGTTACCATACTTCTCCCAGCAAACTGACTCCCTATGCAGCTTGACTAACACTCTGAGGAGTTTAACCTTCTCCGAGTCTTACCTTCCTAGCCATATGCTAAACTAAAGAGGACTGTTTTAAACCTAGCCTTGAATAAAGAATAACATACAGCATAATATATAACATAATATACAACATAAACACAAACATTATTGAATAATATATAACATAATATATAACATAATACAGCATATATATATAATATATACACTACATATTATATATTACCTAATTATATGCTAAATTAAAGTAAAGTGCTTTAAGCCTGGCCTTGAATGTGGAGACCGTATCTGCTTCCTTAACATAAATGGGAAGCTGATTCCACAGTAAAGGAGCTTGGTAGCTAAATGCTCTGCCACCAACAGTGACCTTTGAGACCTTAGGGACCACCAGACGTCTGGCGTTTTGTGAGCGCAACGCTCGACTTGGTTGATACGACACTAACGTGTCTTGGAGATAAGAAGGAGCCAAGCCATTTATGGCTTTATATGTTAAGAGTAGGATTTTAAACTTTATTCTGTACTCCACAGGGAGCCAGTGGAGTGATTTTAACACCGGAGTTATGTGCTCCCTCCTTTTGGTACCTGTTAAGATCCTAGCTGCTGTATTCTGAACGAGCTGGAAGCTCTTCAAAGAGGCTTTAGGGCACGCTGCCAGTAAAGCGTTACAGTAGTCGAGCCTTGAGGTGACAAACGCGTGAATGAGTTTTTCCGCGTCACTTTTAGGAAGGAAATTCCTAATTTTAGCGATGTTCCGTAAGTGGAAGTACGCCGTTTTAGTTGCTTGGCTTATATAAGCCTTGAAGGAGAGTTCTTGGTCAAAAATGACTCCAAGATTCCTCACAGTGTTACTGGGTATTATACTGACATTATTGAGAGTAACCATCTGGTTAGTGAGGGAGTCACGCAGGCGCTTCGGACCGAGTAGGATCACTTCTGTCTTCTCCGGGTTGAGAAGTAGGAAGTTAAGAGTCATCCACATTTTAAGGTCCTTTATGCAGGCACTGAGCTTTTCTAGCTGATCTGTCTGATTAGGCTTCATCGACAGATAAAGCTGTGTGTCATCTGCATAGCAGTGGAAATTAATTCCATGCTTTTTAACAATGTTTCCTAATGGCAGCATGTAGAGAGTAAAAAGAATCGGTCCGAGTACCGAACCCTGCGGCACACCGAATTCCACTCCAGAATAAGGCGACGAGTCCTGATTCACATTGACGAAGTGATATCGATCTGATAAATAGGATTTAAACCAGCCAAGGGCTGTTCCTCTAAGACCTATATCACATTCTAGCCTCTGCAGTAGAATGCTGTGGTCTATTGTGTCAAATGCAGCACTAAGGTCCAGTAGGACCAGCACTGACACTTGTCCATTATCGGCAGCTAGTAGTAAGTCATTTGTGACTTTGACTAGTGCCGTTTCAGTGCTATGATGAGCTCTGAATCCTGATTGAAAGACTTCAAACATATCATTTTCCTGCAGGTGGCAGCGGAGCTGCTCAGCTATAAGTTTTTCCAGGATTTTAGATATAAAAGTGAGGTTCGAGATCGGTCTGTAGTTTGTAAGTATTTCTGGGTCCAGGTTTGTTTTCTTCAGAAGGGGTTTGATTACCGCGGTTTTAAAAGCTTGTGGGACATAGCCACATTGTATGGATGCGTTTATTATATTTACGATAGGCTCAATTATCAAAGGAAGTATGTCTTTGAAGAGCCATGTCGGGACTGCGTCTAACATGCAAGTTGAGGCTTTTGAGGATGTGACCACAGAGATCACCTCTGCTTGGCTCACAGCCATGAATTTATTAAGGCCCACTGAAGAGTCTAAGTGGGAAGTCACGTATGCCGCTTCAACCTGTCCACCACTAACAGCAGGAGCAACCTCCTCCAGCTTGTCACGGATGGATGTAATTTTATTATTAAAGAAGTGGAGAAAGTCGACACTGCTCAGTGAGCTTGGAATTTTAGGCTCGA